TTTTTCATGCTGTTCTCTTCATGCCTCTTACAGTTTCTGGGAAAATAATTGGAAAATAAAAGCCAGTCGCCAGTTACACGTTCTCTTTTCCATTGTTCTGCTAGAACAGCCCTTGCAGGATAGATTCCTTAGATTCTAAGAACCTCAGTCTAAAAATCCCCGACTCTGACTCCGTTCTAAAGTAGTGACAGTGGGTGAAGCCTCACTCAGTCTTGCTTAATCCAGCCCTCTTCTTTAAGGAAGCCCTTTTCCTGAAATACATCGGTCATACAGAAAAGTACACAAGTCAGAGATCTATAACTCGATGAATTTTTACAAAACTGAACCCCCTACGTAAGCACCTCTAGATTAAGAAATAGAACGTTATTGGCACTCTGGGCGCTTGGCTGGTCCCCCACCTAGTCATCCTTTACAACAAAAGGACCACTGTGCTGTCTCCCATCACCGTAGGTTGGGTTTGCCTGCATTTCAGCTTCATAGACGTGGAATCCTGTTGCATGTGTTCTTCTGTGTCCCGCTTATTTTGTGCACCGCTCTGCCTGTGAGGCCCAAACTGGTGGTTATAGTAGTTGTTTTTCCACCGTGGTGTATATAATATTCCATTGTATAATTGTATACTATACTGTGGCTTAATTATCCAGGCTACTGTTGGTGGACATTGGGTTTTTCCAGTTTGGGGCTATTGGGCAGAATGCCGCTGTGTTCGTATTTCTGCCCTGAAGCAAACTTGCTGGGTCCTGTGCGTACGATCATTGGCATAAGATGTTGCTGGGTAGTTTTCCAAAGTGATTGTATTAATTTACACTCCCACCAGCAACTACAAGAGTTCAGTTACTCCACACCCTTTTCAATTTTATCCATTTCAGTACATATGTTAATAGTATCTTGGTATGGTTTTCACTTGTCTTTCTTGCTGACTGATGATGTTGACTACCTTTTCATGTGTATGTTGACCATTTGGGTTTGCTTTCTAAGTCTGTTTTTTTTTAATTCGGTATTCTGCCTTTTTTCTTACCGATTGGTATGCATTCTTTATTTATATTGGATGCAAGCCCTTTATTAGAAATATATGGCAAATAGATTCTTCCATTATGGCTTGCCTTTTGCTGTCTTAGTTGTATTTTTGGATAACAAAGTTTTTAATCTTCAGGAAGTCTGATTTATCAGTCTCTTCCTTTACGGTTAGTGCTTTTTGCATCTCTCTAAGAACGCCCTCTACTCCTGGAAGAGTCAGCTTTGCTAGAAGGCAAGGAGAGTTGGGATATCTCAGAAGCCCTCTGGGAGCTCTTACTCTTACCTCCTGCAGACCTGTTGAGAGAGCAGCCGTGTTCCATTTTTTGCCTTTGTGAACTGTTATTTGAGCAGATGGCAGCTCAGGATTTCCAAGTTGTCATGAAAGAAGATGAGGGGCTGTACCATGTCCATGGCTTTTCCAGATCTCAGTGGCCCGTGGTGGCATGATGGAATTAGAACCCTATTCCCAGGACACTCGCAATGAGCCTTACGGCTGATTGATGCATCCCGGGATGAGTTGAAAGGGCTCTACAGACTTGGGGTCATGTGCGCATGGAAACATGCCTGGAGTTCCCTTTTTAACCTGTAGCTCTGAGAGGATAGAAAACTGAATATTCTTCCGTCCGTAATGCATATTGTTTTGTATCACAAGCTAGAAATGACTTGCATGGAAATCTGGCCCTGTTAGCTGCACAGCTTCTCAAAGGCACAAGTCTGGTAGTTAGCACTCAATTTTTAAATGGTTCAAAACCCATAACTTCACAGTGTCTTTTTCAGTTATTTTTTTGTGAATAGTGGAGAATTCAGAAGGAAGTCACATTGCTCGAAGAGAGAGGTCATTTCCCGAGTTTTTGTTTTTGTTTTTTTTTTAAAAGATTTTATTTGTTTATTTGACAGAGAGAGACACAGTGAGAGAGGGAACACAAGCAGGGGGAGTGGGAGAGGGAGAAGCAGTCTTCCCGCTGAGCAGGGAGCCCCATGTGGGGCTCGCTCCTGGGACTCCAGGATCATGACCTGAGCCGAAGGCAGACGCTTAACGACTGAGCCACCCAGATGCCCCATGTTTTTGTTTTTTTTATGAATTCTTAGGAGGTAAGATGCTGAATCGCATAACTAGCATTGTTTTCCTCGTGGCGTTGGCTATGGGGAAGCTTGGAGCTCAGGTGCGGGGGGAGGATTTCACGGACCCGACTTCTGCATCTGACCCCACTGCTGATTGCCTCCCATCTTCATTTCCCCTGACTCTCATTTTTCTCATCAAATTCTAAGGGTTTTTTTGGTCATGCTGCATTTATGTAAAACGTTTTAATTCTGGAAGGATAAGGCATTAAAAAAAATTCTTGAATTAACTTGTTCTTTTTCAGAGTTTTTAAAAAGACCTTCTGAAGTTAACACTGTCCTGCCCATTGGGCAACCATGGGGGGCGACTCACTGAATCCCCAGCATTGCTGAGGGACTCAGCAGAGACGGAGCTGAGATTCAGCCTCAGGGCCCAGCCCTGTGCTGTTGGTCTGTAGGAGCGGAGGAGAGATTCCAGTGTTTTCCATCTTTTCAGGCTTCGGAAAGAAGTCTGCTTCCCGCTGGAGACAGATGCGTAAATGGAAGCTTAGAAGAAAGTAGACTCAATGTCATACTATTTTATAAGGAAACCAGTGGTGCTCTTGATGGCTGAGCCAGCTCAAATTTCATGGCTGTGCTCCTTTAGCTTTGTTGTGTGTGTGTGTATGTGTGTGCACGCGCTGGAAAACAGCACTTTGCTTTTATTTGTTGTTGCTGGTTTTAAATAGTGGGATCCATCCATTTCTTCCCGGTGCCCTTGTCCAGAAGATCATCAGTGAGAGAATGGCCAGAATTGCACTGGGAATCCTTGGATGCTTAATGAATATTGATTGTGTTGACTTTAAGATTTAAAACTGCGCTGGTTCCCTTTAAGAGAAGTAGCCAAGTCACATCAGGCCTAATGTTTCCCGGAGGAACTTCATGCAGAATATATATTGAGGGCTATTTGCGTGTTCGAAGAGCTGACCACCTGAGGAAGAGAAAGAAAGCATAGTCTCACTTGTGTTCTCTTGAGAAGCTGGAAACAGTTTCTTCTTTAAAACTATTCCCACTGTTTGAAAATCTTCTGCCTTGTAGAATACCAGGGATACTTTCAAATCTTTGTGCACACAGGTAGCACCAACAGCACACCCTGGGACGGCCGTGGAGGTGTTGGGTCTGACTCCCTCTGCCGCTGTACGCCCCAACCCCCCAGTCCAGCAGAGCCTCCTGTGCCCAGCACCTTGGGCCTGCACGTCTATTGTAGAGCTCAGTGCCTGTGACTTTGGGCTTTAGTCCTCTGCTTCCTGTCCGTGTGTGGAGAGACCTATACAAAGGGGACAGGTGAGGGGTACCTGGGGGGCTCAGTCATTGAGCGTCTGTCTTTGGCTCAGATCATGATCCCAGGGCCCTGGGATCGAGCCCCACGTCGGGCTCCCTGCTCCGCAGGAAGCCTGCTTCTCCCTCTCCCACTCCCCCTGCTTGTGTTCCCTCTCTCACTGTCTCTCTCTCTCTGGGTCAAATAAATAAATAAAATCTTAAAAAAAAAAAGGGGGGGACAGGTGAAATGTCAGGCTCTTATCTGTCTTCTTGGGAATGAACTTTTAGTCATCCCTGAGAAGCCTATTAAAAACACACTCACCCATATATTGTGCCTTTAATATTCTCCTGGTTGTTAAAAGTTACCTCAGTAATCCACGCTTATTATTAGAACATGTCAAACCCTTCAGAGGAATGGAAAGTAAAATTTAGTCTCTCCCTTCCTGCCTTCCATTCCACCTCCAACCTCCGTGTAACCAGGGCTGACATCTGATGTGTGTCTCTCTGTTTTTTTCTAAATACACATACAAGGTTGGCAGGTGAGGGCAGGTTCAGGGCGGTAGTACTTGTTTATTTAAAAAGCAGAGTTGTATTAAACAGACTGTTCTGTTACTTTGGTTTTCCCCCACGTAGTAGCTTATTCTGGACATCTTTCCACAGGAAAATGCATGTTAGTTGAGGGGGAAGAATAGGAAAGCATCTGACCCCTGGAAGAGTGCTGCTACCTTAGGGGGACAAGATAGGGCGAGAAAAGACCGGGAAAGACAGTCCATCCTGGGGGAGCCACAGCAGCTGCCCTTTTAAATGCGCTTGTGGCAAAGTGCACACTCGGGTCCCACTTTCAGGGCCCTGGTGTAACCACTGTCGGGGAGGGTGTGCAACTGGGTCTCACTTTAGCCGCTGCAGAGCCTGTGCTATGAGATTCAGTGATCAGAGGGCAGCTTGCTGCGCACTTCAGTGAATTAGGCCCCTCCAAGGGTTAAAGGGTGTTTCTTCCTCACTGCTTCTGTTTCCCAGTCTGGCAGTAGGGGTTTGGGGCTGAATGTTGTTGCCACTTTTGCCTCTCTGTGTTACTTCGTGTCAAATTTATTCAGGGTCTGAGGTTCCTTACTGCAAGTCTGAGGTGGGCTTTTTGAAGACTGCGTCCTGAGCTAGCATGTGCGTCCTCTGCCTGGTGCCTGGTGCCCCAGGGGCCCTGGCTGCTCTCCCAGCCCATTTGAAGGAAGGAACTCAGCCTGACTTTTATGGCAGCAAAGCACAATTGTCCGGGCTGCTTAGCTCCCTCAGTTCAGACAGGCTGCTAATGAGGGCAAGGTCATGGTCGCATCCCTGTTGGCAGAGAGCTGAGGACAGTCTTCTGCATTTTGTCACAGATTTTTGTTTTTGTAGCGTGAGCCGACAAATCCATGTCTTCTCCCCTCAGTCTCCCCATCTTATGGGGGTGGGGGAGAGGAGGAAGTCCCCTTGTTTTACAAGGGAAATGTGAAGTTCAATATTTGAAGTACCTTACAATCTTTCCTTGGAAAGCACTCTGTAGAAACACATTATCTCTAATGGTTCCAAACACGTGTCGTGGAGGAACTGTCAGCCCTGATGGATGTGTTTTTCTTCCCGACCCCTCTTTTTAGAACCCACACGGCGGTTAAAATAGCTCCAAGATACAGCGCGCCTGTAATCCACGTCCTGGACGCATCTAAGAGCGTGGTGGTGGTAAGTGTGGGGCCTTGCGTTCCTTCAGATATGTTGTAAGGAGAAGAGAAGATGCAGAGTTCAGGGTATTTCCCAAGATCATCTTCTATTTTTGTCCAAGTCTACTAAAAAAAAATGTGGAAGAAGAGCCTACAGCTTGTCACAGTGTCACTGCGGGGGTCTGCATTGCTGGAAGGGGGGGCCAGGTGACGTGTCCTGTGCTTTCGAAGACCGCGTCCTGAGCTAGCAGCGGAACGCTGGTCTGAGCAACAGAGACATGGTACCAAGACACTCGTGACCTTGACACCAGCCCAGAGGGAGAGAGGTTTCAGCCATTTACATGCATTTACAAATATGAATATATACTGTCTTAACTCCACACCAGAGCTAAAAGGAATGTGGAATTTTATTTATTTATTTATTTTTAAAGATTTTATTTATTTATTTGAGAGTGAGAAGGAGAGAGCATGAGAGGGGGAGGGTCAGAGGGAGAAGCAGGCTCCCCGCCGAGCAGGGAGCCCGATGCGGGACTTGATCCTGGGACTCCAGGATCATGACCTGAGCTGAAGGCAGTCGCTTAACCAACTGAGCCACCCAGGCGCCCCTGGAATGTGGAATTTTAAAAAATGACCTATGTCCAGATAAAAAGACCCTTAACTCGGAATGGGCCAGTTGACCCTACCCAAAGAGAGAAAAACATTCTCTAGATGTTCAAAACCCAGAATAATAGATGCTTTTTCTCAGTAAATGTAATAAACAACATACCTGAGTGTGTTTTTATGCTTCTCTCCATCAGTGAAGCCCAGTATCCTCTCTTGTTGTTACGTGTTTCATTTGTTTCATTGTATAATAGGAAATAATAGCTGGAGAGAATCTGAGGGACCGTGTGGTCCCGTGGTTTCCAGGTTTGTTTTAGCCACAGAAACCTTGTCTGCAAGTACAGCCCGGTATGGATAAGAGCAGCCCCTTCCATCCTTCATCCCGCCCCTAGTTCTCGAAAGAGCACAATTTTAAAAACCGCTAATATAGTGCAGCCTTCTGATTTGTGGGCGAGGAGAGTGACCGAGGGGCTCTGATGATTCGTGAGACTGCCCAGTGACATCACGCGGCCTGAACTCGGGTGACCACATGTCCTAAGCCATTTTCCAAAGGCATCCTTCCAGATCTGTGAATTCATTTATATTGAAGTTGAACAATAATGACTAACATTACTGGAAATTGATAGGGTGCCAGACACTGTGCTAAGTGCTTTCCGTGGATTTTTTTTTTTAAACCCCCATGAAGCAGATACTTTGAGAGGTGAGGACACAGGAATGGAGAGGTTAGTACCCCTCTTGAAGCCAGACGTCCGTCACGCGGCAAGTGTGGGGTGTAGAGGCAGGCGGTCTTAACTCCATTGCCTCGTTAAACTTGCTGCCATTAATATTTAAGTGATCCTCCTTTATTCAGAAGGATACGATTAAATCAGACTGGAATCATAGAGTTGCAGTTTTTCATTTGCCATTGATGTAGACTAATGTGTAAATAAACTACATTTCTACAATTTCAGAACAGTTTTTTGTATCTTATATTTGGATTGTGCTTCATATATCGAGCTTATATCGAGTTCATGATTGAGTAACCATTGGGCCTATTTTTAAGGCTTGTTGCTATTTTCAAATGCTAAGGAATGACTGAACATTTCCCGTTTGGAGACCAGGCTGTTGGCCCTTTTTAAGTCCATGGTGGTAGTGTTGCCCCCACAGGTAGGGGGATGACTCTGGGTGGGAAGGAACTGGCCTCTGGATTCTATCTTGAGGGCACTCCGTCACCGTCTTGAAGAGTAATGCAGCAGGGGCCGAGCCGAAAGCCCGGAGATGAGGCGTAGGTACTGGTGCTCTTGCCGGTCGGTCCGGCTGGACAGCCGGCAGTGGTTAGCTCTTCTCAGATACAAAGAGATGGCCCCCTTCTGAAATTACTCAGACATAAGTGCGATGATAAGTCATTTGGGTCATTGCTGGTGACACTTCTCAGGAGTCAGTGGTACAATTCATTTAGGCTGATTGTCGGTTCAGAGTCTTTTGATCCGACCCCAGTGAGCGTGGCCCAGGCCCATGCTCTGGACCACTGGCTCCAGCATCTGAAAGATTCCGAAATGTGGCAACTATGGGATCATTGGAGCTTTAGACCTCAGGATGCCCCTGCTGTCTTTCCTTTCTTTTTAAATAAAAAACGAGGTGCCAATATTTAGTTCTTTCTAAATTATAAACTGTATTTTCAACTTCTCCCCTCTCACTGTGCTATTGCTGTTATGAAAAATGAAGAATAAAAGAATAAAACACGTGTGAATGGTTGGCCTGAAAACCCACGACGAGCTCTGATTTGTGGTGGAAAGATCACAAAGATAAGCCCGTATAATGGGCCATGAGCAAGTCAGACTGGGCAGGGAGGGGCTTGTCACTCTGGCTCTGGGAGCTGGGGCCCCCAGGGTATGGACAGTGCCAGCAAACTGGTGTGCCCTGTCTACCCGATGGGAGCCATGTCAGAGTCCTGTTAAAAGTCCTTTGGATGTTTAGAAAAATCAGGATTTTGCTTTCTCAGGGTCTAAAATCTCACAGAATGCAGAATTTTAAACAATATTTCAAACAATATTTAAAATCACCGATTTCATGTGCATGGCGGGCTCAACAGCAAGCATTCCCTTCCTGTCTCCATTTAGCTCTGCTGGCTTAAGTGAGGACCCCATTGAGTTAAGGTGGATGAAAGGCTGGGAGGTACTTTGTGGTGTGAATACCATTCAGGAGTCTATTGTCAGGCTTGTCACAGTGGTCTTTTCTGATTAGGTTCCTAAAAGTGATTTGGCTTTATACTAACTCTTAGGGGATTGGATTGCTGTTAGAGATACTTAGAAAATTCATGTAGAATTAAAGGCATTTCAAGCCGGTGGGCACCTCAGCCATCGTCCAGCCTAACTTGGTCAGTTTCACATAATGATACTGACCTTCCAGGCCCTTGTGTTGGAAGATCCAGCTGGAGGCTGAGAGATGAGATGGGGCAGCACAGGGTTTTGAGCTGATGGTGATCAGCAGCCATTTCCTCTTTCTGGATAATTGTATTTTGAGCTTTGGTGGTGGCTATTCTCCCATTACCTTGATAATCCCAGTCATAAACAATATATAGCTGATCCTAGTTTTAGAATTGACTAAGTCGCCTCACATTTCTCAGATGATGGGTTTCCTTTCTTTCCTTAGCACAAGCTCGTAGTTGACCATGAAGATCAGCCTCATTCCTTCAGCAGACATTTAGTGAGGAGACACCTTGTATGTGCCAGGTACAGAGCTAGAAACCAGGGACATGAAGGCAGTTAAGGTGCAGTCCTGCCCTCCAAGGGCTTGTCCTCTAGTGAGCCAAGTGGATACACAGATACTAAAAGCCTGTGGGAAATGCAATGAGGGAGAGAGGCACCGAGTACCTTTGAAACATAGATCGGTACCTGACCAATGTGTTGTGTGGGTCCCTGGGACCACCCTCAGTTTCAGTGATTTGCTAGAAGGACTCAAAGAACTCAGAAATACCGTTATACTCACAGTCACGCTGTATTGCAGTGAAAGAATACAGATTAAAATCCGCAGAGGCAAAAGATACAAAAGGTGGAATCCAAGAAAGGGCAGGCACCAGCTTCCAGGTGTCCTCCCCCGTGGAGTCCTACGGACAGTGCTTAATCCTTCCGAGAGTGAGGCGGGACACCACGGGCAGCGCATTGCCGACCAGGGAAGCTCAGCCAAGCCTTGGTATCCAGGGCTTCTCCTGGGAGTCAGTCCCGTAGGAATGGAATGCTTTAAGCACCTGACTCGCCTTAGTTACTCCAGAGTCAGACAGATACAACATAAGCCAGGTCTCCCCAAAATCACATTGTTAGCGTAAACTATGCAGGGTGGCCCAGGGCTCCAGGTGGACGAAGACTCTTATCAGGCAGGATATTGCAAGGGCTTAGAGCTTATCTCTCAGGATCCATCAAGAGCGAGGCGTTTCTCTGGAATGTGTGAGAGTTGGACATCCTAGGTCTACTGAGGTAGCCCTCGGCTGCACGCCCCGGCAGGAATTAGCGAAGCTGGCGAAGGGAGGGGGAATGACGTGAACGAGGGAAAGCTCCTTGAAGGAGGCGTCACCAGAACTGACCAGTGTTGCTCCTGTTTTGTTTGTCTCCTTTTGCTCCTCTGTGGTTCTTGAATTTCGATCTTGCATGTTCAGTGCTCGCAACTATTAGATGAGAATCTAAAGGATGAATATTTTGAGGAGATCATGGAAGAATATGAAGATATTAGACAGGACCATTATGAGTCTCTCAAGGTAAGTGACAAAAACAGGTCCCTGATGGTTGGGCATTAAAACGATCCTGCATTTTTGAATGTGACTTTATTGTTTTATGGAGGGCAAAGGTTTAGGATCATTTTAGAGAAGCCCTGTTTTCTAGTTCAAATCGGAATTCTCTGGTGTCTGAGTTCCCAGTAATTTGGGGTTATACTAAAATTAATTTCATTTATTCCACCAAACATTTATTGGGTACACAGTAGGTGTTAGGTGCTGTGCCTGAGAGCAGAGTTATGAGAACGAATGAAACATATCCAGCAGGAGAACAAGAACTGAAACGGTGTGTGGACATGATTCCCCCGGATCCTTGTTCTTGAAATAATGGAAGAAAATGAAGACATCAGACAGGACCATTGCAGCCTCTCTCCCTACTGCCTAGTGCAGGCTGCAGAGCGGTGTTAAAGGAACTGTCCCTCTCTACATAAGCTTCAGGGAATCCTTGGGCAGCAGACGTAATCACTCGTTAGAAGTCACTGGGATATTTCTTCCCGGTTCATCTGCCTGTTGGACCTTGTCCGTGGTGGGGGGCACTTTGGGGGTGGTTAGGCGAGCGAAAGGAGACAACAAACGGCATGAAGAGAACAGGTGTTTCTGAGGTGTTGACTAGCCCAAGATTCTGTGGTTGGCTTTCTGCCTCTCCTCAGGTCTGCCCACAGTTGACAGTTTCCTAGCTCTGCCTTCTGGTCCTAGGGCCGGTCGACGGCAGGCCGGTTAGCCCTGGCCTCGGATGTTCTAAAAGGGTAGGCGGGATGCCGCTCCATTGCCGGGCTTACTGCAGGGTTGAGGGATCTACATATCAACATTTAATGGGTATTTACTGAATCTTTACTCTCTATTGTTCTGGTGCTAACATGGAGCCATATTGGGTGGAAAAGGAAGAGCTTCTTATGATATGAATTTTCATTAATAAAAGCATTTGTGTTTGTTTTGTTTTGTTTTTACACAAGTCATGTACTAGCTTTGGGGACATACTTCCATAGTAGCAGCTGGAGAGAGAAGAGTCTCCGACTAAAATAACTTTTCTTTTGTTCATAGGAGAGAAGATACTTAACCTTAAGTCAAGCTAGAAAAAACGGTTTCCGTATTGACTGGCTGTCGGAGCCCCCTCCAGGTCTGTCTGGCTGTCGGTTAGAGAAAGGCTGCGTGTGATAGTGAGGGCTGGAGAGGTGTTTGCACGTACTTGGCTACAGAATCAAATGTGCAGCTAGAGACTCTTACTTGTGTCTAATAATAGTGATGAAGCACAGTGATGATTTAAAAGAAAAGGAAATAGGTACCATTTACGGAGGACCAGACTGACTGCACTCTGTAGTGAATGTGCTGTTGTCCCCACTTACATGTGAAGATCCTGAGTTTCGGGTGAGAACATGAAAGGTTACTGGGATTCTCTCTCTGGTCTGTCTTCTGACCCCACACTCTTTTCTCTGTGTGGGGCTCGAGGGGCCCCCCGCAACTTGACATAAGTTCTGGAGACCTGCCTGGGTGGCCTGGGTCGTGGGGCAGGCCCAAGTGTAGACATGGAGTGCTTGAGATCAAAGATGCCCTCACCCTGAACAGACCTTTAGAACATTCCAGCAAAGCAAGAGCTCCTATTTCCTGTGCACTCTTTCCCGTTCTCTCTCTGAATGCTTCCTTCTATTTCTTTTGTTTTTTCTTTTTTTTCCTTTCTTATTTCCAGCCATCTCTCTTGCCTTATGGAGTTGTTCATGAGGGAATAAAATATGGAAGATGTTTTGACACGCTTAGAAGGGCATGAGGTACAAATGCAGAACTGAGACAGGGTGAACAGGGGTTGTATTACTTGAATCCTTATTTCCAAGGTAATGCCTCAAATCCACTCTCCTGGCTCACAACATCAGTGTTACGCATATGATCGGCAGAGTGGAGAGCATTAAATTGGAAATGTAGGTGCACTTGGTTCTACTTTCAGTCCTGCTGAGTTCAGTGTGGGTGAGTAGGAGGAATGCCACATTGGGAGTCAGGAGGTCGGGTTCTACTCCCAGTTTGGCTCCTCGCTCCGAATCACTGAATGACCTTGAGCATCTCACTTCCATGGTTGACAGTTTCTAATGTGTAAAAAGGAGTTACCCTATGGAAGATGGTGAGGATAAAAGAAGATCAGCTTTTGAAAAATGTAAATCACTGGATAGTCCAACTACTGTTTTCCCTTTACCTTTCACTATGAAATTAGAAAAACATCACAGGGAAAGTCCCATTTTAGCCCAAATATCCAGCACGATTCAGCAGAGACAGTCCTCTGAAGGCAGCAGTGGGGATACTTTTCGAATGGCCCTCTGTCCCCAGGGTGGGGCTGCTGTGGGGCTCTGCACCTGTTACTTCAGAAGGGCAGAGGCCCCGAGGTATAGCCCACAGAGATGTTTCTGAGGACAACCCAGTCTTCCAGTAGTCGCAGGAAGTCACTAAAGGGAAAAAGAGGAGCTCTTCTCTCAAGGTCCTTGGTGGTAAAATTCCAGAATAGCATCCTTCAGTGACTACAAGGCAAGAGGGAGCTTTCATCCAGAGGAAATCTAGCTTCTTCTTAACGGTCAAACACATCAACACAATTTAATGTTATGAAGAAGAGATTGTTCTGAATAGTAAAAAGATGACCAGCAACAAATGAGATAGAGCTACTGTGAGCATGTATGAAAAGATAGAGATTTCCAGGCAGAAGTAAGAAGCAGTGCCTACTCTCCCCGTACTTTTCTCCCTCTCACGTCTACCTCTGACTATCTGGTGACACAAAAATACTCCGGAGGCTCCAGTGTTATCCCACAGCACCTGAGATGAGTAGGAGAGCGTAAGTTCTCTGATCCCTATTTACAGAGCAGGGAACTGAGGACACGGAGGCCAGGAAGCTGGTGGGGTGGTCGTGGCATCTGACCCTGGCCTGATCCTGCCCCAGGCTTGGGGGGACAGGGTGCAGTAATGTCACTCCTGGTGTCCCAGAGGGCCCCGTGGCACCATCTGTCTCCAAATTCTTTGTCATTAATTCACTTATGATCTATTTTAGACTCGCAGGGAGGTGTAAAGAACAATATGTTGAACACCCATATATACCTGCTATATATATATTAGGTACATAAGACCTAAGAAATAACCCATTTTTTGACTTGATTATTTGTTTTTTGGGTGTTGAGTTTGAGAAATTCTATATAGATCTTGGATACCAGCCCTTAGGTACATAAGACCTAAGAAATAACCTGTAGGGGCACCCGGGTGGCTCAGTCGGTTAAGCGTCTGCCTTCGGCTCAGGTCATGATGCCAGGGTCCTGGGATCGGGTCTCGTGTTGGGCTCCCTACTTAGTGGGGAGCCTGCTTTTCCCTCTTCCTCTGCCTGCCGCCCCCCTGCTTGTGCTCTCTCTCTCTCTCTGACAAATAAAATCTTTAAGAAAACAAAAAAGAACCTGGTGCCCATTTAAAAAAAAACAAAAACAAAGCAGAACATACGTAGTGGAAGTCGCCCTAGCGCTCCTCCCTCCCCTGCAGGATCCTGAATTTGATGCCTTCTTTCCGTGCATTTCCTTATGTTTTGCCTGCGTACGTATATAGCAGTGGGCAGTAGAGATGATTGATTCAGGTTTCTAACGTTTTTCTAAGTGGCTTCCTGCGTGTGCCTTTCTACAGTGGCATTTATTGTAGTATTGTCTTCATTTGTGCAAGTGAAGAGAAACCCAAGTCTCTTCTCTTGGACCGAAGGGCTGAGGGAAGAATTTCCAAGGGCGGTGTAGACAGTCGGCCCCTCGGGAAGAGTGATTTGATTTAAATTCGCTGCGGAGTTACTCCTTCTCCGTGATCATTTAAAGTTCCACTCTTTGAGGGGCGCCTGGGTGGCTCAGTCGTTAAGCGTCTGTCTTCGGCTCAGGTCATGATCCCAGGGTCCTGGGATCGAGCCCCGCATCGGGCTCCCTGCTCCACGGGAAGCCTTCTTCTCCCTCTCCCACTCCCCCTGCTTGTGTTCCCTCTCTCGCTATGTCTCTCTCTGTCAAAAAAAAAAAAAAAAAAAAAAAAAAAAAATCTTTAAAGTTCCACTCTTTGTAAAACAAGTCCAACAGGCAACAGGAGGGAGAGAGAGGGGGAGCCCCAGAGCAGGGAAGAGGCTGCCAGGAGTGTCTGGTGCAGGCGACTCAGCCCCAGGCCCCGGCATTGGCCTTGACATAGGGGCTTCTTTTTACAGTGAAGCCCACGTTTCTTGGGACTCGGGTCTTCGAAGACTATGACCTGAGGAAGCTGGTGGCCTACATCGACTGGAAGCCCTTCTTCGATGTCTGGCAGCTCCGGGGCAAGTACCCGAATCGAAGCTTTCCCAAGATATTTAAGGACAAAACTGTAGGTTAGTTCAGTACGCCCTTCTTCCTTTCTGCTCTGCTATTCGAGACGTAGTGTCTGGACTTTGAAGAGGAGAAAGGGTGGCGAGCAGAGGGTTTGGATTCTGCCAGATAGTTTATTGCTATAATCGTTCACCTATTCAGCTCTTCTGTGGTTTTTAAACTGCTAGATCGGTCCTTATTTATGGGATAATTGGGTATTTTGTTGGTCTGTTCTTTGATAAATGCTTATCGACGTCAGTTACGAGGCAGGCTCTGTGGCGGGCGCTGGGGATGAACAGAAGGTAACAGGGGTAACCCCTGCCTTCCAGTGCAGGGCTCACAGCTGGTGCGGCCACCAACGATGGGCAGTTCCTGCGCGGCCCTCCAAGCTCCTGCCTCGGGGCTGAGTCCAGGGCGTTCGTGAACACACGATAACAAGACAGATCTGGGGGAGGTGGTATGTGAAGTACTTTTTGAAGATGAAATGGGAGGGACTGGGATTGGGGATATGAGATGTTCCTGGAGAAAAGGATGTCCCCAGCAGAGGAGACAGGATGGGAAGGCACAGTCACATGTGCCCACTGGGGGAAATGCCAGGAGCCCATTGTGCCGGGATCACTGGTGGGGGGAGGGGGTGAGAAGCTGGAGGTGTGGGTGAGCTGGTAAACCGCTGGCCCCACTTCTCAGGCCCAGCCCCACCCCCAGAATCTACCCCCAGAGGCATGGGATCACAATGCCAAGCCTCTAGAGGATTAGGAGAGAGCCAGAGGAGAGTAAGGTGGAGGGGTGTTCTGCTAGGAGGTTGGGGTGAGGGTCAAGGGGAGCCAGGTGCCCATTGTGCAGGGACAACCACCCAAGTGCAGTGCTGGAGCCCCTGCAGAGGGGCTGGGCCCACACCTCCCTCCTCCACCTGGTCCACGGCCCCAGAGGCCACTGTGAGGTCACTGGAGTGATGGGTGCACGAGGAAGGTCGGTGATGGAAGGCTCTGGCTGGCTTTGTTTCACTCGCTGTCTGAGACTGCGTTGGGGAGCCCCAGATTGGGCTCTCTCTGCCTCTTACTGAACAGAGGCATTTAGGGGCACTGCAGTCAGCCCAAACCGCTAACCCTCAGCCACTGACAGGCACCAGTGAAGTATTTGGGGGGATAAAGGGGGGATGGGAGAGGCTGGCTGAGGAGGGGGAGTGGCTTTAAAAAGAAGTATTTTTTGCTGGCTATCACTGGCATTTTTAAGTGAATTCTGACTATGTTTTCCTAATAGGTGAAGAGGCCAAAAAGGTCTATGATGATGCCCAGGACATGCTGGAAGTGCTGATCAGTGAGAAGAAGCTCCAAGCCAGGGGCGTGGTGGGGTTCTGGCCGGCGCAGAGCGTGGAAGACGACATCCACCTGTACGCAGAGGACGCAGCGCCACAGGCCGCGGAGCCCATAGCCACCTTCCACGGGCTAAGGCAGCAGGTATGGGGAACCGCGGTGCTAAAAAAAAAATCATAAATAGGAATTAAGCAAGCCTGAGCTGTGTATACATGATACACCTCACCCCAAATGACCACTCATAGGCCCAGGCCGAGGCATTCGGGAGGACAGTGGACAGAAGCAGCCGGTGTGGGTTGAGAGGCTGGCCCCTTGGCACCAGCAGGAGAGGGGTGTTGGATGTGGTGTTGGACAGGCTGCCGGGACACACTGTTGCTGCCTCGGTGGTCACACACAGACGGATGTTTCCTTGATCAAAAACATCGGTTTGCATGCATGCATATTATTAAAACAGGCCGGTGGCTCCCTTTCTCAAGGGGAAGACAGGCGGAAGCACACATTTGCTGAATGTCTGTGACGTGCCAGGTGCTTAGTCGGGTGCTGGATGGACCGTCTTAATTCATTTCCACGCCGCCTTGTAGACAGTTTATGTTTCCATTCTACAGGGGGAGGGGGATGAGGGCCGATGGAGATGGTGCTAAGTCCACAGCTTTAGAGGGGAGAGCCCAGCTCGTCCACACGTGGTAGCTTCCCTCAGTGTGGCAAGAACTGGCATTTCTCAACACGGTTGCCTCTCCTGTGTCCCCACCTGGAAGAATGCAGATACCACGTGCGTGTCCCTGTGGCCTTGATGAAAGTTGTCCTCATCCAGAGTTGGAGCCAGAACTCACCAGAGCCATTAACAGAGGGTTGCAGTAAATCATCCTGCAAAGTTCCACTACCATTGTCAGTCATTCAGAAGCGATAGTATTGCTTTTAATCATAACCACCACGTAATTCATAATGACAGATAGTTTCACTGTAACAGCATCTGAAGGGATTCTTTTTTTTTTTTTTTTTTAAAGATTTTATTTTTATTTAGTAGGTAGAGAGAGGAAGCACAAGCAGGGGGAGTGGCAGGCAGAGGGAGAAGCAGGCTCCTCACTGAGCAGGCAGCCCGATGTGGGACTCGATCCCAGGACCCTGAGATCATGACCTGAGCCGAAGGCAGACGCTTAACCAACTGAACCACCCAGGTGTCCCGAAGGGATTCTTAAACTTGGGACACTGATACCGTAATAAGATCGGGGAGGGCAGCTACATCACTCCTGTCTGCACCCAGGCTCCGACACCACAGAACAGGAGGCCGCCGGTTGTAATGTTAATGTAATGTCACTAGCCAACTGGTGACTTTTCTTCTGCAGGTGTAATTTGGGTCACAAACCTCTGCCCTAGCCCTGTTTACGTCCAACACCATTCGTGACCGGGCAGGCTATGGCAGACCGTGTTAGGGCATTTAACAGCAGGACTTCTCGATGTGCACGTATGACGCATTCAGATAGCTCTTGCTGAGGAGGTGCTCTCTTCCAGTGCTCCGGAAGATGATTCTGGCTACAGCCACTTACTGCTGTGGGAGGCTTCTGTCTCAGACTGTAGTGGCCGTCTCTTCCGCGCTGTGAAGGGGCTCTGTGACCTGTCTCTGCTTGTGGTGCTGGGAAGCTCTGTGTCTGCCTCTGGCTTTTGTTAGTGAAGAATGGTTGATGGACAGAGTACATCATTTGATAACGGCCCCGCATCGTGGTCCCTGCACTCTGTGACATTTCTGCGGGCCATTACCAAACACCTTCTGGCCATTTAACCGTTTTCTGCCCAGTGTTGGTTAGGCTGTGCTTGTTTCCAGAGCTGGCAAGCAAATAATAGCTCTGAAGCCTCTGGCTTGCTGCTCACCGATTAATTGATCAGTCTTACGTGCCGTACAGCGGTCAAGAGCGTGGGTTGTGGTATCAGACCCCCGGACCTAGCACCGTCTGACACTGGGCTTGCTGATCAAGCTCTGTCTGCCTCAGGTTTCCTGTCTGTGAAATGGGGCTGATGGTATCACTTCCTTACGTCACACGGTCGTTGACAGCGTGACATTAGCGAGTTCCTGTACAGCAGCAAGAGTAGTGCCTGACGTACAGCGAGCACTCGGTGAACACTAGTTACTAGCTCTTTATCTTCTCGGCAAGTGTTTGTTGATTGTGAGATATGTATACGACCTTATTTGTCTGCTTGGTGGCAGGGGGGAGTCCATCACCATTTGGGCATGAGAAATGGGCAAGGGCGGGCACCTGGCCTTGAGGAGAGACTCCCGAAGCTGGGCTGCTGAATTCTGGGTTTGGTGTCAGGCCGGCCCAGGGGCAGCCTCGCGGTCTCCTGAGCCACCACTGTGGCGGGCAGCACGGGGCCCTGGGCTGCTGACCAGAGGTTTGCTGAACTGCATCTGTTGATGCTAAGTAGAGGCTTAGGCATTTGTGGATCCCTTTTGGATGTAACTTCTGGATTTAATGTTGATCTTGAATTGAAAACACTTTTGGGGGAAATTTGTTTTATATGAATGTTTAGGGTTCCAGTTCCCAGCACAGTGCCTGGAGGCATGCAATAAATGTGGGAAGGAGCAAATTCATTGGTTTCTTGACTGTCATGTCATGTCATGTATTTTTTTAGAATCTTCTTTCACTAGTTGATTCCACAAATATTTATCAAATACTCGCTACGTATCAGGCCGTCTTCTAAGTACTGGGAATGTAACAGGGAACGAAACGGGCATCGCTGTGTGAAGCTTAGATCCGTCTGAAGAGACGAGATTGCTGTCTGTTGCGCATCGCTCCCACATCTGTGCTGACGGTCCGTCTGTCCGTCTGTTGGGTTTGAAGGCCGAGAAGGACCCTGCCAGCGCGGACCCGTACCAGTGCCTCTCGGACTTCATTGCTCCGCTGCATTCCGGCGTCCGCGACTACCTGGGTCTGTTTGCCGTCGCCTGCTTCGGGGTGGAGGAGCTGAGCAAGGCCTATGAGCAGGAGTGTGACGACTATAGCAGCATCATGGTCAAGGCTCTGGGAGACCGACTGGCTGAGGTAGAGCGGCGGCACTGGGGACAGACTGGGTGGGGAGCGTGTGACGGTGCCGGGTGCGAAGCAGCCCTTAGCATCCATGTCCTGCCGTTTTGTTTTCACCGAGTCAGATGAGGCTGGCCTTAGCATCACATGCAATTTTAAAAAATCAGCTCTTCTCGAATTGCTCTCATACATCATTTTTTGGGCAAAGGAATGCCTCCAGCGATGCCGTAGTTTGTAGCCGTCCTTAGAACCGCGACCTCTTTGCTGTAGTTCTGATGTCTCTCTTTGCTTGTTGTGTGACGTTTTCCTGAGGAGCCTGAAAAATTCAGGACAAATTTCTACGCCAGGACTCCTTGTTCTCGTGTTGCGATCCTCTGTAGATTCATCTTCCTGTACGTGGCCGGGGTCCCCTCTGCTTCCCCTGAGGCTGGCAGGGGAGGAACTGGCAGCTGTAGTGGTCCCCGCTTCTCCTTGTGGCCACTGTCAGGGAAGTGTTTCAGTTCAAGGCCCTCGAATCCTCAGATCACTGAAGAGGATATGTCAGAGCCCAGGCTGAGGCCAGAACTGGGCAGAGAGCAGCTGATGAAGCGACAAGCGAGCTGAGAATGCAGTCGGCCCCTCTTGCCCAGTTCCTCCCGCCTGTGGTGCAGGCAAGGGCGGGGGTTGCCCCGGTCAGCTTTGATGGGGGGGGCGGGGCGGGGGGGCGCCGGTGCAGGGGGCTCCTGCCTCTGCCCACACGCACGCCTTGCTCCCCACTGCAGGCCTTTGCGGAGGAGCTCCACGAGCGGGTCCGCAGGGAGCTGTGGGCCTACTGCAGGTGCGAAGAGCTGGACGTCGCCGACCTGCGGCGGCTGCGCTACGAGGGCATCCGGCCGGCGCCCGGCTACCCCAGCCAACCTGACCACAGCGAGAAGCTCACCATGTGGAAGCTCGCCGACGTGGAGCGGTGCACGGGTGCGTGCGGGGAGCGGGGGGCGCCCTCCTTCCCCGTGCGGGTCACGGGCCTGCTCCGGTCACACACAGCAGTGCACACGTGGCCACCCGTGTCAACACGTGGGAACGCTCGGAATGAACCCCCCCTTCCTCCCATCTAGCTCTTGATCCCACTGTTTTACAACTACATTATTGAATAGTCGTCTCAGACCCCTCGCTTTTAGATGGATCAATTCCCATTACTTTCTCTTAGGCTGTAACGGATGAGAATTTAGCTTATCATAGTGCCCGCCCATCTCCCGCCCTGATTTCCTGCTACAGGGCTCTCACTGCTTCTAATCTCACCATTAGCGACCTTCAAAGCCTTCAGTGACGTAGTTCCCGTCAGCTCCTCCTCCTCTGGACGCTGCCCCTGCCCTTCAGCTTTTCCCCTTTATTAACACAACTAACAGTGTCAGTGGAATGAATCAGAAGTGTGCCGTCAGTGCCGATCAGGTGAAAGGGACTTGGGTTCAGGTGAGGGACTGAGGCTTTTGGACACTGGCAGGAATGGCGTGGACTCCCTGAACCGTAAGATATGGGTTCGAGTCCTTCCCTGCCGTGAGCTACCTAGTGATCTCTGGCAAAGTGTTGAAACTTTGTGCTGCTCTGTTCCTTGTCCATAAGATGAGAGGCTTAGACGGGACAGCCCGGTGCTCCCTCTGTGTCCTGTGGGCTCGTTCTCAGGGCCCGACTGTTGTCATCCCAAGGGGCAGGAGCCTGGGGGTCCAGATGGTGCCTTTCTCCCAGGGCTGGCACTCCTTCTCTGAGAGGCCCAGGTTTAGGACCAAGTGGAGGCCTCTGTCCCTGAGATTGGAGGAATGGCGGGGGGCGGGGGGGTACAGACGGTCTTTTCAAGGTCTGTCCCCCTGGGTTAGAGGAGATCGGCCTGAATTTCATGCTGTGTCATGTGTCCACTTAGAAGGCATAAGCTCACTTTCATTCACCTGTTCCTTCTTAAACAAGAGCTTATTGGGTGCTGCCAACCGCCAGGCCCTATGCTGGGCACTGGAGAAATCAGCATTTTTCCCCCCCACCCCCCGCCCCCGTGTTGCTCTCTGCAGGCATTAGGTTAACGGAATCCCTAGCAATGGCACCTGCTTCAGCAGTATCCGGCCTTTACTTCTCCAATTTGAAGTCCAAATACTTTGCAGTGGGGAAAATTTCCAAGGATCAGGTAAGTTAGCCGTTTCTTTGTGTATGGCTTCCCTAGATGCCTGTCTTGTCTTAAATGGAACTGAAGAACCTGTTTTATTTTACATGTGAATGAGAATAAAAAGGGAGGGAAAGCGTGACGAAATTTACCCCCAGTTAATGTCTTAATTTGATATCAGCTTGTTACCCCGAAGCTCGCCCTCCCCATTTGCACACCTACACCCCCAACGCTCACACACTCTAGCCAGCATCTTGGCACCGGAAACTTACTGCATGTTGTTTTCTGCCCAGAGGATAAGGCGACTTGGTGAACAGATAAATATCCATCTCCATCTAACTCAGTAGATTGCTATTATGACAAGAAATGGAAGGCATTTCGGGTTTCCTAGCAAATCCTGTGGGAACCTCACTTCAGAAAGTCTTATCATTTTGGTTTGATATGCTGCTTCTAATCTTTTGCAGATTGAGGATTATGCTCTTCGGAAGAACATGTCTGTGGCTGAGGTTGAGAAATGGCTGGGACCCATTTTGGGATACGACACAGAGTAACTTGTTTATTTATTTACTTTTTAAATCCTTTTCTCTGCTTGAGGATCCTCAAGGAAATAGAGTCCAGAGTGCCTTTAAAATGAACAGCAGTAGTAGCAACGTAAAAGCCCGGCCGCCTCACTCTGCTCCAGGCTTCGGAAGACTGTTTGGTGGAACCTTGTAGAGGAGCAGGGCCTTCCTGTGTCCTTGGGAAGCAAGCGGCTCCTTTCCGGGGGACCTTGAACGAAGAGCAGCAAGCACAGCTCTGGTGGTTTTCCTGGTCCCCGCGGACGGGACAAGCTGGAGTTAGAGGTCTTTTGCCTTTCAAAGCAAGTCAGCTTGCTTTTTTTTTTTTCATTTTTACCTTGCGTCTAGGAGGCCACTTATTATTATTTTTTTTTCTCTTGCTCTCTTAGAAAAAGGCCCGAGACTTAACTGAGTAGAGAAATGTATAGAAAAACGTGACCCCGTGGCAAAATCACCCTGTGCGAAATGGGGCATTTTAATCTAAAACGGTTGCAACAGCACTCTGACAGGGAAGAAAGTACAACTCTGCTCTCCCTCTGGAAGACCTCGTTTTCATTTTCTGAAGTCCTGATTACATGGGTGCGGAAGTCCCTTTGGCAGAAGGTCCTCTCTCACCGCTGACTGCTTAGAAATGCTCAGGCTGTTTGCCCTAGGGTGGTCAGACACAGGGGTGTTCTCTTAGCATTTATGTCCTCTTCTAGTTTCATATTCTCTGCCCTGAGGGCGAAGAAGGAGGTGGGGTGAGGAAGTGGCTGCTCAGGGTAGTTAGCATCTTGTCGCTGTTTTCTGGAGTTGAGCAGGCTCTTGGCTGAGCCGCGGTGTCCTGTGCAGGGTTGGACCGACGAGCAGCGAGATTGCACTCAATTCCCCCATTTCTGTGCCGACCCGACTGTGGACTCCTGCAGTGTAGGACAGCACATTGACGTGTTCTCAGTTATTTTGGGGGAAATGGCTAAGAACATGGACTTCGACGTCAGACATACCTGGATTCACATTTCACCTTTGCCGCTGGCTGTGCAACGCGGGCAAATTACTTCCATTCTCCAACACTGTCTTCTCATCTGTACAGTGGGGACACCAGTTCCTCTGTCATGGGCCTGAGGGGTGGATAAATGAGGTGACACACGTAGGGCACGGAGCAGGGCATCTGACACACAGTAGCTTCTGTAGAGCTCAGTGAGTAGTGCCTCCAGCTCAGCACACGGTTAGTCTTCCTGGGAAGGGAATAGATTAACAGGTGAAAAGATACCAGGGGATCGCAGGTGATAAAGACTGGACCGCCTGCACGAGGTGCCCTTTCTGCGATTAGAGCCCCATTTACACTATGACTGGGACAGGGAAGCTGCCTTCATGTCCCATGAACCGTTAGGACTCATGTTCTGTGTGACAGCCCTCTCCCTCGGCTCTTGTGATTTAAGCCTTGCTTCCCAAAGCAGTTCTAGCAAATGTACATTCATTCAAGTGCATCAGAGGCGAAAGGAAAAAATCTTCGGAGAAGGAGAACCCTCCACATCTGCAGTGTACCCACGTGGACTTACAGAGGAACGGACCTTTCGGCCACCACTTGCCCTTGAAGCAAACACAGCCTTGTGCTTCTTGAGGTACAGTCGGTCTGTGCGTGAGTGAGAACGGGACTCAGTTTCCCGAGACACTTAGTCGGGAGACTTATCTTCTGTTCTGTAACAGGTGTGTTATTCTTGGTACCTTCTTCTGTGAGAAAGAGTAACCTCCTCCGAATATTTGACTGTGTTTCGTCAGAATTAGAGTTGCTAAGAGTCTCCTGATTTCGTTAAGTATTTTCCATCTCTTCCCTCAGCTGGTTATGTGACAGAATGGCTTCCTTAAATGTACTGTTCATCTCATCCCACGAGGGATGCCTTTTTTCCCAAAGACAGAAACAGTTCATGGAAGTTCGAGCCCCTATATATTCATGGAAGAATATAAAGTGCCAGTTGAAGCCCCCTCCCTTGTTTATGTCATACACTTGGAAGGCAGGTAGGTGGCCGTTCTGAATGCGGGGTCCCTTCTGTGTCAGTGCCTGTCCATGCAGAACCTCTTCTGGTCGTCACCGTCTGTGGCTGTCATTCGAACCCACTCATAGTCATCATTTTCACCGAAGATCCCACATTATTTTTCCCTCTAAAGAGGCGCTTGTTTGGCATCTTCCTCTCTCTGCTGCTTGCTCTGCTGTCCACACTGAGGAGTCTGGTTGGCGGGATGGTGGGGAGATTGGGTGTATGACAACCCATTTCTCCTTTGAGATATTCTCCTATGTCCTCACTGCACTCACAGCTGAACTCATGTAAGAATAGTCCGCCTTCTTTCTGTTTCTCTCCGGCACGCCCTCAGCAGATACTGACTGACTGCTGTGTGCCCCCCACCTGCTCCCCCTTTCTCTCTTGAACCCAGTGAGGTTAGGTTTTTACCTGCCTCTTCTGGCATCAGTGACCCCTCAGAGGTTAGACCCAGTGGCCTTCCTGGAGATTTGTCATCTGTGTGGGCCTGGACAATGCAGACCCACTTCTTCAAAACTCTCCTTTCCCTGCTTCCCCCTTGGCATCACTCTCTGCTTATCCTTCTGTGTTTCTGATCATTTCTCAGCCATTTTCATAGTTTTTTTTCCTTCCTCTGCCCATTTAAATCCTGGTGTCCTCAAGGGCCTGGCATTAGTGACCTCCTTGGCATGTGTAGTTCCAGTGGGTGATCTCACTGAGTTAGTATCCCCATCTAAGCTCTGTCCTGAAGAGCACAGGGTACATCCAACAGCCCCTTCCAGGCAGACAGACAGACACCTCAGTGTGTCTCGTCTCATTCCTCTCCAATCGTGAAATTCAGTCATGAAGAATGGTGCCACCACTCCAACATGAAACCTCACACTTAGCCTATATCATCTTTGGCTTAGACTATTGCAGGTATCTGAAAAAGTCAGCACACGAAAGACACACTTAGCCTATTTTAGTCAGGATGGTGGCAGAGATATTTTGGGAAGGCAATGCTTAGATGAAGGCCTGACTTGGGATGTGAGGGATGAAGATGAAGAAACAAGGTAGGAACAAGCTGTCTTTGTTCATGAACAGGAGTATGAAGGGTTGGAAAGGTATCACATCTTCCCGAATTGATCTATAGGTTCAGTGCCATTTCCAACAGAAATTATAGTAGAGGCTGTGTTCAATATGACAAGCAGGTGTTTAAATTTATATGGAAAAGCAAAGGACCAAGAATGGCTGAGTGCTACCAAATGTGAAGAGGTTACGAGGTAGTAGGTTTCGTTGTATGTGGTGCAGAGGTGACCATTCCAAGCAGGGCCGTGAAATGAGGAGCCTGCAGGGTAACCTGTGCATGTGTTGACCTTGACAACATGACGGAGGTGGCTTGGCGCATCCAGGAGGACAGGCAGGGTGACTCCACACGGGGTGCTGCAACAATGCTTATCTGAAGGGAAAAGGTGAAATTTGGTTTCTGCCTCACGTGTTATCCAACCGTCAATTCCAAATATATTAAGGTCTTAAATACAAAAAATATATATTTCAGTGTTTGCGTGGACAAGCCTAAGGGCAGGAAAGAATCCCTCGAGACATAAAGCACTAACCACAAAAATAAAAGATGATTAAATCAACTGGTTTTTTCTTTAAGATTGATGTTAAGCTAATAAACAATTTAAAGTAGCGAAAAGACAAACCATGACTTGAGATATTTGTATTACACTTGACTGACAAAGGATTGGTAGGCAGAATAGATAGAGGGTTCCTATTTAATAAAAAAAGAAACTTGGCAGAATTAGACTTGAAGAGGCATTTCCCAGAAGAGGAAATACACATGGCTTATAAAAAGTGTTCCACAGCCTCGGAGATCAGAAATATGAATTAAGACCACAACGAGATCCCATTTTACATCCATATTTTGCAGAAGTTAAGGAGCCTGATGATACGGGGTGCTGAAGAAGCTCTGTGAGAACTCTCAGGGTGCGGGCACGTGACCAGGCATCTCTGCTTCAGAAAACCATGCTATCTCCCAAAGTTGAACTCTTGCATGCGTTAGGATCTGGCTTACGACTCGGACTCCCCCTTGGGTATCCAACAGACTTGCACACATGTGCCCGGAGGTGTGGGCAATAACGTTCATAGCAACATCTTTATGATAGTCAAGAACCGAAACACCCAAAATGTCCATCTGTCTGTAGGGGGATGGGTAAATAAATTAGGTATATTCATACTAAGGGGTTATTATTCAGTAGTGGAAATGAATGAACTGCAGCTGTACGGGACAGTAAGAATGAATATCAGGAAATAAGAAGAACAAAAGCAGACCCCAGGAGATCATGGGCTATGATGCTATTTTTATGGAGCTCAAAAACAAGCAAAACCAAAGAATATGTTGTCTAACCACATGTATCCGGTAAAACTATGTTGTAAAAAAAGAAGAAGTAACAATGATAAACCAAAATTGAGCAGAGGAATTAACCCTGAGAGGGGGATCCTGAGCGGATCGCAGAGGGACACCTAGGTGGATGCAGGTCATTAGTAATATTCTAGTTCTCGGGTTGTATGATAGGTTTATGGCTGTTTGTTACATTATTCTTTATTAACAGAGTTTTGTATGTATTAAATGTTGTATTTAATGCATGTATCAAGTCTATTTTAAATAAAGATAGAATAAGCAAAAATCTGGGATGGTGACTTTGCATATAATGTTGTGTATGTGTCAGATAGATTTTTTTTCAGAAAGGAAGGACGTGTCGGCCAGAATGAACAGCAGTGCAAAGGCGGGGGCAGAGGGGTGCTTTGTGCGTGGGCTTTGGTGAATGAGTGCACACAGTGCCGTTTGCTGCAGCACAGGATGTAGGAGGGGAGAAGAGATGAGTCTGGGACAAGGTTGACTTGACTGAATACGGGCAGTAGGATACGTGACTTTGGAATTTAGGAAGACTGGCCTTAGGATTGGGAAGCTTCAGTGTGGAGATGGAGGTCAGGCCACAAGTGTGGACAGGACAGCTTGTGGAGGATGTGAGGAGGAGGGAGCCCAAGACAGAACTGGATTCCAGGAATGGGGTGGAGGGCAGCCCTCTGGGAGAGTCCACATCCGGAGGTCCAGGAGAGAGGGAGCAGCTGCGGCATCATCAGGGGCTGTGGGGACACATTGGTGGACTGTGGCGGGGTTGAAGATTGAATGGGAGGTGAGAAAGCTGTTATTTAAAGAACATTGGGTGTTGGGTTTGATTAGTTTGCTACAGATTTTGGATACTAACCCCTTTATCAGATATGTTATTTGCAAATACCTTCTCCCATTCCAAAGATTGCCTTTTAATTTTGTTGGTTGTTTCCTTCGCCGTGCGGAAGCTTTTTATTTTGCTGTAGTCCCAAAAGTTTGTTTTTGCTTTTGTTTCCCTTACCTCAGGAGACATAACCCTTAGTAAGAAGTTGCTATGACCAATGTCAGAGAGGTTGCAGCCTGTGTTCTCTAGGATTTTGATGGATTCCTGTCTCACATTGAGGTCTTTCACCCATTTTGAATTTATCTTTGTGTATAGCGTGAGAAAGTGGTCCAGTTTCATTCTTTTGCATGTTGCTCTCCTGTTTTCCCAACACCATTTTTTGAAACTCAGCACCCAAAAAACAAGTAATCCAGTTAAAAAATGGGCAGAAGACAGGAATAGACATTTTTCCAAAGAAGACATCCAGATGGCCAACACATGCAAAGATGTTCAACATCACTCATCATCAGGGAAATACAAATCAAAAACCACAGTGAGACACAATGAGACACAAATCAGTGAGACACAACCACAATGAGACACAAATCAAAACCTAACACCTGTCACAATGGCTAAAATTAACACAGGAAACAACAGATGTTGGTGAGGATGCAGAGAAAGGGGAACCTTCTTACACTGTTGGTGGGAATGCAAGCTGGTGCAGCCACTCTGGAAAACAGTATGGAGGTTCCTCAAAAAGTTGAAAATAGAGCTATCCTATGATCCCGCAAGTGCACTGCTAGGTATTTACCCAAAGGGTACAAAAGTACTGATTTGAAGGGGTACCTGCACCCCAATATTTATAGCAATTTTATCAACAAGAGCCAAATTATGGAAAGAGCCCAAATGTCCATCGATAAGTGAATAGGTAAAGATGTGGTATATATATATACAATGGGATATTACCCAACCATCAGAAAGAATGAAATCTTGCCATTTGCAACGATGTGGATGGAGCTAGAGTGTATTATGCTAAGCAAAATAAGTCAGTCAGAGAAAGATAAATACCATATGATTTCACTCATATGTGGAATTTAAGAAAGGAAACGGGTGAACATGGCGGGGAGAGAGGCAACCAAGAAACAGACTTTTAACTATAGAGAACAAACTGAGGGTTGCTGGAGGGGAGGGTGGTGGGGGGATGGGTTGAATGGGTGATGGCTATTAAGGAGGGCACTTGCTGTGATGAGCACTGGGTGTTGTATGTAAGTGGTGACTCACTAAATTCTGAAACTAATGTACACTATATGTTAACTAACTAGAATCTAAATAAAAACCTGAAACAAACAGAAATAATGTTGGAGTGGTAGGTAGAATGGAGAGAGTATTTTAAGATAGAAAAGGAGTTTTATGCCAAGGGGAAATATAAGAGGGTTACAGATAATGCAAAAGTAAAAAATATATATATATATTTTCACCTAAGTCCAGAGAGACTGGACTTCCATCTACCAGTCCCCCACATTTTATTTTATTTTATTTTTATTTTATTTTTTTATTTTATTTTTTTATTTTTTTATTTTTTTAAAGATTTTATTTATTTATTTGAGACAGAGAGAACGAGAGAGAGAGAGAGCACATGAGGGGGGGAGGGTCAGAGGGAGAAGCAGGCTCCCTGCCGAGCAGGGAGCTCGATGCGGGACTCGATCCCGGGACTCCAGGATCATGACCTGAGCCAAAGGCAGTCGCTTAACCAACTGAGCCACCCAGGCACCCAGTCCCCCACATTTTAAACCTGGGAGTTGTCCCTACCCTCCCTTTTTCTGAAACATCACATCCAGTTGGGGGCCATACTCTGACCATTTTACGCACTAAATACGTCTCTCTCTCCTACCCTGCCTAGGCTTAGATTCTCATTTCTCCTCTGGCCTCAGTCCGCTGGGTGGGTTTTCTGGCTCCTACAGCTGTTACTAGTGAGCTCTCTGAACCTTCACGCCCACCTCTATCCTACTGCCCAGATGAGTATGCCCGTCGTGCCTAGGATCTGTCCAAAGTCCTTACACACTTGTGAAGCTTTCCACGTTCTCCTGTGCGTGCTCTGAAGGAGGTACCTGCTCACCTTGTCTCCTTCCCCCCTGACATAACCCCGCCCCAACTCTACCCACGGGCTTCAGGAAACCTTCCCAACAACCCTCCAGTCCCCAAAAAGCTATGTGACCCCTTTTCCTGTCTGGCAATAGAACCGTGCATGTTTCCCATCGCTCCCATGGTGACAGAATAATCTATTTCCCCATTAGACTGGGATTCTTAAGGACAGGTTTGAAACCTTGTTCATCTTTGTATTAACATGCTTAAAATAGAGCTCGGTTCCTGATAGGTGCTCAGTAAAGGTTGGCTTGAGTAGATGAGCAGGTTCTCTCGGGGACAGTGGTTTATAGGGAGAGCATTCTGTGAAGCTCCATGAGGGCAGGGCCAAAGCTCGCTGACTAGGCTCAGAACCCCCAGAGTCTAGCCCACCAGCTGCCATGTAACTCACTACATAAAGTGTTTTCTAAGTGAGCAGGAGTAGAACCATGATGATTTTCTCTTGCTCAGAAGGAGACTGGGACATAAATAAACCCTAGCACCCTAAACACCCATCTTCAGGATTTCATATTAGAAGAAACAGCCCTGTCCATATTCTCTATACTGCCCCATGAAGACAGCACATTGACAGTCCTGCAGAAAAGCTACCTCACTTCATAGCTTACTTGCTACAGATCATCTGGATGTATGGTCAGATTATAGGACACAGAGTATTTTTTTTAAGATTTTATTTATTTTTGAGAGAGAGCACAAGCAGGGGCAGGAGCAGAGGGAGAGGGAGAAGCAGACTCCCCGCTGAGCAAGGAGCCCGATGCAGGACTGGATCGCAGGACCCTGGGATCATGACCTG